TCACAGCGCGCGAGGTGCGAAGACACAAGCTGAAGAAGGTGGAGTATGGAGACGCGACTCGGGCTACGAGAGGAGACAGCTAGGAGAGGGGAGAGGCAGGGAGACTGCAGCGAGGAGAGAGCAAGGAGAGAGGCAGAACCAGTGCGAGGAGAGAGAGGCGGCTGCTCCTGCGATGGAGCCGACGTTGTCGATGTCCTCACTCGGGATAGCCCGCTGCTCCGCCGCCTTGAACGACTGCGCAACCACCTGCCACAGCCGCCGCGCACTCGCCTCGTCGCCGCCCATCCGGTTCGACACGGCCGAAGGGTTCGGGACGGCTGAAGGGTCCGGCGCCACGGCCGCTTGAGGCGGGATCGGCGCAAAGTTTCCGCCGCGAGGCGCGGCAACCTGCGACGGCAGCGGCATGGGCGCCGCGGGGGCCGCCGAGTCGCGCGTCGCGCCCTCCGTCTGGGCCCGCAGAGCCTCGACTGTCGAGGGGTCGGGAGTCGGCGTTGCTGGGGCTGCAGACTGCGGGGGGCCGTAGTCGGCGCCATTTCCCATCGTCGGCGTTGATGAGCGGAGAAGACGCGTTCGCCGCACCGGACGTGGAGAGAGCGCGGCAGACGCAGCAGCCAGCCAAACCAGGACCATGGGATGGGTGATCACGCCAGCAGTTATCTCGATTTTTGTCTCAAGCCCGCGCTTTTTTTTTTTTTTTTTTGAGCGCCTTCGTTGTTAATAGTACAAACCCAATGGTCCTCTGCGAGCGGTCCTTCGTTGCAGTCGCACACACGCACACGCCACACCGCACCGCGCGCCCGCCCACCGCCCCGCCCAGGCGGGAAAGAGATGAGGGGATGGGACAGCAAAGGAGGAACCCCAAACACGTATGGGAGGGTTCAGTAATGCGCCACGCTGCCCGGCGTTTCTCACTTTCCGGGACAGCCCCGCCCTTGTGAGGCAGGAAAGTGACGGCTACCCCGTACGCCCTGGTGCTGCTACCCCGACGCCGACCGCCCATTCCCCCCTCCTCGTTCCCCCCTCGAATGCTCTGGACCCCGACAAGCCGCCCGACGTTGGGCCTCTGCCCCGCACGCTCCCGCCCCTCTGCCCCTCACACACACCCAGGCCCGACATGCACATACAAGACAAACCCGGCGTCCTGCTCTCAAAAGAAAAGAAAAAATGGGAAGGAAACGGGAGCGATGGTGTCACCGCGCTCGCACACCAGGACTGAGAGTTAGCTTGCGACGAAGCCCTGCGGCGCCCATCTGCCGACTCGTATTGGCCGCCTCCACACACGGCACGACCTGTTCTCCCCCCCTTCGCACGCGACCTGGGGACACAGAGGCACGGGCACTCGCCAGCTACCACCGCACCCACTCCCTCGCGCACTAGGACTGCATCGAGCCGTTTCTGCGGGCGGTCGCACCGACGCTGCAAATTCAGGAGGTGCCCTTCGACGCGCCCCTCAGCCTTCCCGAGTACAGCGTCCACCTAAAGCAG